AAATGAAGTTATTTGTGTTTGCCATACAGCATCAGCTAAACCCCATAGACCAGCTAAAATAAATAAAACATATATTTGTTTATCTGTTGGTTTCCAAATAAACATTGTTATTATTAAAGAATAATTTATTATAGCAGCAATAACAAAACATGGCCAACGACCAATAAATTTTACTAATTGACCAAAACAAAAACTACCTATAGAATCACAAATACCATATGCAATTAAAATCAAACCAACATATTTTGCATTCAATGTACAAGAAACAAAACTCTAAAATAAAAGCAAATAAAAAAGATCAAATATGGCATTGTCGGATAAGATGACAACCCGTTATTTGAGTAGCCCGATTTGTAGAGCAACTCGGGCCGCATAGAGTGGTATATAGGAAATTGCTTTTTCATCACGTTTTAATATTTTGACCAATTAAAGGATGTTATAGCAATTGTAGGTGACATGACGAAATTTAGGGCTGAGTATGTCTTCAAATAAACTTGTATTAACTTTCGTTTAAAGTTTCTTCAATTGTGTCTATATAATAATATTAACGATAGCTGTCTTCATACATAAAACTTAAGCATTTTTACTAATTTCTGTAATTGGTGATAATTTAAAAAATTCTTCAATACTGCTCCTAAAGATAAAGTTGACTAACTGTGCAACTTTCTTTCATCAAGCTCTATAGATAACCCAATTGATTATCTGATGAATTGTTGTGCATCACCGTCCAATCAATGCGTAAACAAGGTCAATTGTTCTATTCCTAAGGACAGAAGAGTATATAAGTTTTGCGGTAAATACTTTTCTGCCCTGAACAATCGAATAATTGACTCTGTTTACATATTGATTGGACCGTGACGCACAACAACTCAGAAGACAATCAATTGACATACCTATAGAGTTTGGTGGCGCACAATTGCTCAGAAGGCTCCATGGTTAGTCACCTTTGCCCTCCGGAACAGTATCGAGGAATTTAAACCATCATAATAGTCAAAGATTACAGAAGCTAGTGGAAATGGTAAGGCTTTGGATATGAAGAAAGCTATTGTGAGTATCATTATATAGACATAACTGAAGACCCGGCAAAAATCTATCGAAGTAACCGTAAACAAAATTTGATATAAGTTTGTTTGGAGACGTACTCAGTCCTAGTATTTCTTCATATCATCTACAATTGCTATAATATCCCGTAACTGGTATATGACTTCTCAAAACATTAAAACTTGATGAAAAAACAATTGTCTATGTATCATTCGATGCGACACGAGTTGCTCTACGAAACACTATAGATGACTTTTCAAATGAAGGATATTCATCTTATTCGACAGAGTCCTTTAAATTTTTATTTACTAATGTAAATTGTGCTGAAAGAAATGATTGTTCTAAACCTGACCAAATAGTTAATGGAATAAGAAATAATTGTTTAGCATGACGCAAATGTTTAATTGTTGAAATAAGTAATGTAATAGAATGACGAAACATAAGAGAAATGTTATCTAAATAAGAATAAATTAAATTTCAATTTTTGTTTTTCTCCTTATTGACTTTTATTTACCTTTTGATGCTTTTCGTCGTTGATTAAGAAAAATTATTATTATTAATATTGAACAAATACATATACAAATATAAACAATACAAAGAATATTAACCTAATATAAAAAACAAAAAATAATAATAATAATATTATGTTTTGAAATTTTTTTTCTACCGTTTTTGGTTCAATTTGATTAATAACTTTAGCACGTTTATATTCTTGTTCACTAAAATCTGCTCCACATTTATCATATTTTCTTATTGAATTTGTTCTTGTTTCATTAGTCTTTATTTCCATAGGTTTAAGTATTAAATATGATATTAAATTTCCCCATATTTGTGCTATAAAAAAATAATTTTCTTCTATAGTAAACAACAAATAATAAACAAACCTGATTGAAAAAACATAAAGAATAAACCAAAGAATCTATTGACAATAACATTTTTATCAATAAGTTTACTTTCAGCATAGATTGCACCAGTATCAGTTAAATAACTACATTTTGCAGTCCATAATGGTGCGGCAGCTAAACCAACAAGTGCAGCAGCTTTAATAAAAAACAATTGATAACAAATAAAATGTTTAAATCATTTCTTACCCGGATACATAAGATATGCTTTTGGATAATAATTTGCTGCTATATATAAAAGATACCTTTAAAAAAAAGAAGATATCAGTGATCATATCAAACGTAACGAAATTCACATATAAAAATCTTTAGAATATAGTTTAAATTGTTTTTATCTTGACAAAAAACTATCTAAGCTGCTTCGTTCCAAAATTTTTTCCTATAGATATATATATATTGGTTGTAAGAATACGCTGAAAGTTTCAGACGAAAAAAAAAAAAGATGTTTCTTTGTCGAATTATTGACTTTTCAAGTGAACTCAATTTTTGTGACATGTCTGTTGCAAAGGCCCATTTTTGAAAATTCAACATCTTGACGCAAGAATGTTCTATTTATCTGAAATTTTCAGAATATTCTAGAAGTCATTAGACATCTCAATGAGTAAAAGTTTTAGATCGAAATTACGTATTTAATTGTTCGAGGAGTCAAAAATTCACTAAACCGGTTATAACTCGGCGCTAAAGGGCCATGGAGATGAACTATTCTAGGCTTTTGTCAATCTCGCTGAGACCTTCTTCTAGGTTAAATGTGAGCTTAAGCTACGAGTGTCAGTTGAGGAGAACGGCTTATGACAAAAATTTGAAATTTTCAGTTCAGAACTATCTTGACAAGTAGAGCAAAAGTTGTCATACACTCCAAATTCTCAGATGCTGTCTTCTATGAGATACTGAGATCACAATGGTCTCAATTTTCGCTTCCGTTTCTCTGAGGTGTTATGTTCGATCGAACTGAAAATCCTTTTTGCAAACACTAGACACTATTTAGGGAGAGCATCTTTCTATTTTTGTGTCCTTCGAATAAAGAACCCAAAATATCGAATGTATTCTAAAAACGCATGTTCTTTTCTGTAAGAGCTACCAAAAAACAGTAGAAGAATATTTTATGAAAAACAAATGTTGATTTCAAAGAGTGCGTAGTGTGACAGATTCATCAGTCATACACTCAACGTTGTGAACAGTTGCTCTCTGTATCATCATTTTCTTTCTGTTCGCGTATTATTCATCAGTCATTCTTGGCTTGATTCTCTTTCCTTTTTGCTGCATTTCTTCCATCAATATACGAAAGAATCAGCCACAAAAAATCCAAAACTGTTATATATAGTATATCTGAAAAACGTTTCAGCTCAGTTGGATGTTCTAGACTGAAGAACAAAAACTTCTGGATCATGAAAGAAGGAGGATGCCTTTAAATCAAATCAAATATTTGTTGAATCATAGTATAAGAATCTGATTACTCACGGAATTTGAGATACGACAATAGTCCATTTCAGACCGAGCATAGCTATTATTGGATGTGGTAAAAATATAGATGAAATAATAAGACATGCATAGATAATTGATAAAGAATTAACGCCAACATTAGCTTCGATATTTAACGAACTTTGCAAATTACTCATAGCTTGAAATGCAGTAAATTGAAGAAGAAAAGCCACGCAAATAACGAATAAATTTTTATATGTTTGAAAAGTAAGTTGTCTTTTTGCCAAAGATTCATTTGGAATATCATCATCAGCTACACTTTGTCCAATTTGAGATTTTAATTCAATATCATGTGCAACTGACGACATATTTATTTCGCGATATTTTTCTTAAACTGTAGATGTGTAATGATGTAAGTTTTAACGAAAGAAAAAAGAAGATATTGTATTTCGTTTCAATCATATAATTAAAAAAAAAAGGTAACTTGTGATGATTGTATCAATCATTGATTTTTTTTTTGATAAATGTTTGAAATACACACTAGCCAGAATTGATTTCATATTAAGAACAAAATCAATACATCTTTATCTATATCTATTCAAACAGATTATTTACTCGATGTTGTGATAGATGATCATTCTCTTAATACACATTCACACATGTTATAATGATATTTATGTTTGTCTAAACTTTGATTGAAAGAAAAAATTTTGAAAACTGAGGTAGAGACTTCTGAATATTTCCTTGTTCGGAACATTGAAAAAAAAATACCAAGCATCTAAATTCGAATAAAATGTTTATTATTAAAAAAAGAAAAACAACTGAAAGAGCAGCAAAAATACTTTGAAATAGTAGCTTATTGACCTCAAACAATATTTTTATTGTATAATTATAACTTATTTTTTGCTACAATTAAAGACAAACCGTTGAGGAGATCGGATGCGGTAATGAAGTTATTCTTATATCCATTATACGTGTTAATTCGACTTTCTCATCGTGTTTTTCGCTTCAATGTGGGTATCAGTATGGATTGAGGTGTGGATACACCGGCACTCACACTCATTAGCCCAGTACCTTTCCTACAACTAGTACAAGCTGTAGCTCTGCACGGCCGGCCGGCCTGGCGCCGTGTTCTTGCGATCAATCACTTGAACTCTTCGTACAATCTGATTAATCATATAACAGTCATGAGAGCAGGTGTATGTCACAACTTAGTCAGCATGCTGTCAAACGGGTGATTCGAGACAAACAGCCGTTAGTAACTTGTCATGGTACCGAAGTTGGTGTATGGTATCTATTAGATACGTACCGAACAACGTAGGCACTCAGTCATGACGATCCAAAGATATATCGAAATGAGCAAAGGGTGTGGGTGTGGGTCTCCTCTTAACCCATAGCCACCCACATCTTTATTCGCTGGGATCATCAACTTTAAAACACTAGTAGTGATTCACTTCTACAGTGCTCTATCATCTTTCTAAAAACTGCATACTCATTATGTACTAAATGAATTGAGCCTTAACTTGTCGACCAAATGCTTAATTATTGGATTGAGGTCTGTCAAATGAAAAAAAAAGTTGTCAATAAAATGGAAAAAAATATATTTGTCGACGAAACGGGACGATACCATTTTTGATGCTATGAACGTAATAATTTTTTAATACACGATGAATTCCGTTTACTTATTTCACCGACTAAAACATCAGATGTTTTAACTTTATCCCATTGCATATTATTGATAATAGCGTAGCACACGTAATAATCCAAAGCATTGAGACTAACTCTATTTGGTAGCCATCTAGGATTATTTATAAAATACATAAAATTCTCTTCACATGATGTTAATGATTCCTGATTTTTATGTGATGTACCATTGTCTTGTTGATAGATGAAATTGTCACTTAGAAGCCGTTTGCTTTTAAGTTGTACATGTAGGAGAACAATTTCAATGTAATTTTCATGTGATAATGTTTCACATGGTTTAAAGATAATTGGAGATGTGGGACCATTTTTAGAGATGCACTTAATCATACCACAATTCTTTTTGGATACTTAGCTTTTTTGCTTCTGTCTTCTTGTTGACTTGCAGCAGAAACCCGTTCTAATGAAAAGTATTTATCATCAGTGTATAGAATTGCCTTCAACCGATGAGATAAACAAAAATGAGTTGATCGCTTGTTAAAAAATATGATCATATTCGCAGCATCGATAATTTAGTCGCACAGAGCTCTATTCATTTTCAAAAACAAAGGATGCTGATATAAAATAAGACTTTTATTTATACTATGGTTCTTTTGATTTCAATCTGAATCTAGAAGAAAAAAGTGGCACTCAATTTCAAACTGAAATGTGGGACATGCGGGTCTTTAGAATTATGCTGATCATATGTATGGTATATATCCCCTGTTTTTATAGGGTGTGGGTGTGGCTGTCAGGATGTGGGTAGTCGTGAGTATGAGTCAAAAGAAAGTACTCATCCACATCCTCTCAAAATAGGGATATATACTATATGCATCATCATTATACATCTAAAGACTGGCAACACCCGCACCCTATAAAAATAAGGAGTATATATCATGCGCATCATGATTATAATTCTATAGACCCGCAGTTTTTGTGGAAAAGTCTGCTGTTTTTTTTTCAAAATTCATTTTGAAATCAAAAAGACCATAGACTTCTTTTGTTTTAATTTGTAGAACTTTTCATGTCACATCTTTTGTTATATTTTATTTTTAAATAAAATGCACTAAATAGAGTAAAAAGAAAAAATACAAAAAAATGGCAATTCATTATGAAACACTCGTTAATTTATTTTTTAATATATGAACTAACAAATTTTATTAAATAGTGGAAATAATCTTTTGTAAGTATATTGTTAACCTAATTGTCTAATAAATTTTTCACATGATCTTTAATTCGTTTTTGTTCTTCCAATGATAATGCTATTTCATTCAAATGTTCAAATAATTCCATTTCTGTCAAAGTATTGTAAACTTCTTCATCTAAAAAAAAAACAAAAAGAATAATTGTTTTTCCTTATAACAAAATTCATTCTTTAACTTCTTACAGTGAAGTGTCATAAATCCTGCTAGTTCAAGGCAAGCGAAATTACATCGATCAAATCTTTGTGCTTCTATATTTAAATCTTAAAATAAATTCTTGATCATTATTCAAAATACATACTAATAACTGATTGACGAAACCAAACAAATATACGTAAAACATTATTTGATGATGAAAATGAATCACCTTTTACAATTGCCATATTATGAGCAATATTATTTGAAGCTAAATAATTTGTTATTTTATATACATATCTAAATAAATATTAAGATTATCATTTTAATTTTAAAATGAATTTTTTACTGAGCAATTCTATTGAATTCATCAATATGTTGAACTTCGAAAGCAAATGCTTCAGCTTGAAACAAATCCAAAAGGTAACAATTTGAGTTTGTATGAAATGGAGAACATTTCTTAAAAAAATAAAATTTTAATTTAGATAAAACAAACTGTTAATACAATCCCTGTAGGATTAAAATGTAAAACACAACATAGCTGCTATTACTAATCACAGGAAGATTGATTTATTCTATGTATTTTAGGACACCATCATTTTACTTAATCCTCCAGAAACGCAAGAAGGAAGTACTTTATTTATTAGAACGAGCCATTATTCATATACCAGTAGTGTAAAACTTGAAACCAACTGATATTTCAAGTTTTAAGCTTTACCTTTCGAGTCTAAATGGTTCCTGGAATGCTATAACTATCCCATGGAATGCTACAGGTATTACCTTAAATGCTATAGATATTACCTGGCATGCTATAGATGTTATCTGGGATGCCACAGGCACTATCTGGAATACTACAGTCATTACTTGGAACGCTACAGGAAGCGCCTGAGATGCTTGAGTGATAATGGTAAGGTAGCATCTGTAAGCGAATGGGTTACGTGGTCAAATAGCTCTGGAAAATATGTAGCTAGCATGGCCCAAACATGACACACTGCGATAACAGTGTACACAGAGACATGCATGGGTCGCGGCTCTTCGAAGTCGCTTTGCGTCTCACGCCGTGCTGCTGATATGAAAAGGTTAGTTAGGCGGGGAAAAGCGCTTACCATTCTTCCAGTGAATATTCATAGAAATCTTGGTTAGTTGAATTCAACTTTCAGGTTTGACACACAGTATCAACAGAGACGCGGTGTGAATCACTTCGCGGCACCTACATCGAGAGAGATACGGGGTGTGCGCTTTTGTGGTTGAAATCTGAAATATCAATTGAATTCAAGTTTCAAGTTTAACATATATGTCATATATGGTTGTTGATCATATATCAACAACGTCTGTCATAGCCTGTGATCGATTACGAGGGTGTCTGTTATAGTGGCGGAGCCAGGATTTTGAGCTGGGAGGGGGGGGGGGGGGCTCAACCCCCTCTGAGGAACCTTTGAGCCCCGGTTAGCAAATAAAATACATGGTTTAAAAATTTTCCTGGGAGGGGCTGAGCCCTCCCCCCCAGCCCCACCCTGGCTCCGCCACTAGTCTGTTAGAACCCTGTAACGAACTCCAACTTCAACGGAGTCGAAATTGATGTAAATTATATAAACTCTGGAAACCCTATTTCATTCTTTTCTTGTGTAGTATTTATTTTCGATAATTGTAACATCCAGTAAACGAAAACTGTCAATCCTATAGCTAAATAATATGAAATAGTAAAAAGAAAACATCTTCATTGGATTAACTTTCACAAGTGATTATTGAAGACAAAAAAAGATTAGCACCATTCAAAAACTCCATTTTCATCAACTTCACATAATCTCATAGCCTATGGGCTGGAGAGTATGTCCAAATTTCTGTCTCTATACTTTAGCACTTGTTTTAGATCGTACTTTGCAAAAAAAAAAAGAATTTTAATTAGGAAAAGAAAATTTACTATTGTCTGAAGAAATAAACGATCAGGAAAATACATGCCATGAAGATGTAACTAAAACATAAACGAAATGTACAAATCAATAAAATAGAAAATGTCTTACATGATTTATGGATGCGTAAGCACAAAGTGAATTAAAACCAGCTAAGATATATGGATGAGCACTTACAGCAACGAATTCAAATCCAAATATAATACAATCAATAGTAAGAATCTATTCAAATTGATGTAGCTCTTTATCTCTAATTTTATTTTATTACTTGTGTTTGTTCAAGTTGACGATCAGGTACAAGTAATACATGATAAGGATGAATAGGTGCATTATTAATTATTATTAAATGTTTATCTGTTTGTTCATCATTATCTAAAGAAATAAGAATCTAAATATCAATTAAATATTTTTTTTTAAATAAAAATATTTATTAAAATTACTTCTTTATCTTTTATTTTATTAAAATTAAATTTATTATTATCAAATGGTGCCTTTACATGTTCATATGGATATGCTATTCGACGTTTTTCTTGTCGATCACGATTATACTATATGTTAAGAAAAATTTATTTAAAATCTTTCAATATAAACAATTTACTTCAATAATATAGTGTAGATCTCCATCATCAAGTATTCGTCGGTTAGCATGATAATTAATTGGAAATGCGAAAAGATCTTGAGTAACAGCACGATCCCATTCGGAATGTAGTAAAGTATCAAACTAAATGAAACAATATAGAAACATCTGTACTACATAGTATTCTGTTCAAAAATAATGTACTTAAAAAAAAAGGACCGAATCTAAATCTATTAAATTGGCATTAACTGTTATACAAATGTATATTTTAATATGTCATAGTAAATCATATTAGTTTCCGTTGCAATTTTCTTTTTTCCTTCGTTTTTAATTGATGACTATTTTTGTGGCATCATCTTTGATAAATAACGAAACTTGTGAACTACGCAAAAGCAGCTAATATGATTGGTACTGGTGGTCTGAGTACACTCACAATTATTAGGACCTATGATTTTCATTGAAATCTGATACTTCGAAGAGTTTAAAAAAATACTCATTCAATGATATATTTTTTAAAAATTAAGCAGAAAAACCAGTGTTTTGCGACTGGTTATGAACACATAGACATCACTTTAATCCTTGTTTAGGACAGAAAAAAAAACATATATTCCCAGGTCCATGGATACGGAATCCATATAGAACTTTTATTATGGTCCAAGTGAAACCACAGAACACAGAAAGAGATGAATCTTCATAAGGCTAGAATTATTCTTTTTTTCTTGCTGTGTAAATGATTAGATGGAAACAGTTCCGTTTTAAGAATTCTGTTCATCTAGCTTCTGCGAAATGCCATATTTATTTATTTTTTTTTGTAAAATTTCATATGCATGGCTATGTAAGGCGGTAGCAACGATCAAGCTGTAATAAGTAGTTTTTGCATAATTTCTTTTTATAATGTAACTGTAACTACTTTTGTTTAACTAGTTGTTTTATATTTATGAGACCATATACATTATGTAGATCTAAATGAACTTTGAATGTCCTGAAAATAACCCTCTCCCTTAGGTCATTACTATGGATACACTGCATTTATGTGGTATTTTTTAAATGAATGTAGGAACACTAGAAGAAAATGATTTTCGAATTTTGACTTGAAACTTTGCATAGAGACAGATGTTAATGTGAATAGTTTATTGTGAAAGTTTTAGATTGTTTGATTTCATTCTGTGCTGAAATAAGAATATCAAATCTGTTGGTTTACGCGTGTGATGTAAAAGACACACTATTACCATAGTGGTATTTTAGAATAGGAACAGCTACAAGATCTTAAATATTATTGTCAAAAAAACTATTTTCATTAAGATCTGTCTCCATGCAAAGTTTCAAGTCGAAATTTGAAAATCATTTTTTCTGGTGTCACTGCATTCAATTAAAAAATACCATAAAAGTACGGTAGCTCTGTAACTATAAGGTAAGGGGAAGAATTCTTTTCAGGATATTCATAGCTCATTTGGATCTACATAATCTGGACTCAAAAGCAACATTTATTCTCTAACACAATTCGTAGTGCATCAATCCTGCTCTTCAAATGGAAAGACGTACAAATAGAGACTGTGAGAGAAGTAATGGAATATTTTTTATCTAGTCTGTCTCAGACTCGCTTGCACATTGTACTCAAGATTCCAAAAATTGAAAAATTTCGGTCTTCGATCTCAAACAAAACTTTCCTAAATATCTCACCTTGTAGAGTGCCGTTCGGCTTTGACCTGCATTGTGAAACATTCTTATACTTATTGAAACCCTTGTGTCTTTGATTCTATGCAGCAGACACATAGAGTAGCTTTACCTCACAAGATAAACAAACAACAAATTTATTATTGGAACATTTTGTTTATAGAGTCACACTAGGAGACTCTCTACAATACAAAACTAATAATTTTTTGTGAGAGCGAGGAACATTGATTAGAGCCCTGTGATTCCTAACATTACCCGAGAACCGAACCGGAGCCGACGGTTCCTAAAAATTTTTCGGAACCGAAGATTTTACCGTAACATACAAAATACCGAGTCATTGGATGGTTTTAGAAATTTCTACATTTTATCTTCGGAACTCTTCGTGTTTATTACTTCATCAAATAAGTAGCTACTTCAAAAGATAAGAAAAAACTCAAAGAATGATATAAAACATTAATATACAATATGTTCATATGAAATATTTATAGTATACAAGGTCTAAAAAGATCGACTTCATCATTTCCTTATCCTCTACATAATCATGATCACAAAGAACAATATCATCTTCGTTACTCATTCTAAACGTCTTTTTTATTGTTATAGCAATGTATTGTTATTTAATTAGGACAGGAAATTGTAGAAGATGACTGTTCAATCATCTTTCTTTTCATTTCAATTGTATCAACTTCATCAATTTTTTTTATCACATGATTTTAATAATGCTAAATTTTTCTGAAAAATAATTTTAATAGGGGTATTTTTTGCACTAAAATTGATGCGTTTATCGCTACTTGTGTTTTCTGCAGATGAGAAAAGTCTTTCTACAATGTTGTTCGATGCTTATATAGAATAAAAATCTTGAGCTATAGAAAATTAGATCGTTAATGTTAAATTCTGTTGTCGCGGGATTATAAAACATCATCATGTCCACTAAATGGGATATTTGATGGCATATATTCATCTAACTCATACGTTGTTGTTGACAATATTAAAGAATTTTGTAATATATCAAAACAGTATGAAAGAAGACCTTTTGATGTTGTCGATTGAGAATCAAGTGAATCTGTATGGACAGATGGTGGAGTAGTCGTTGTTAATGTAGTAGATAGTATTATTCATTGCCGTTGAATAATTTTCGTTTTAACTAACTTAAGACCTTTTTCTTGAAAACCAGGATTACTACGAAAACTTTTCATGAATAAATGAAGGAAGGTACTGGTATAATGCGCATCTTGCAACATTCGCACATCTTGAAATTCTCACCCTTAAGAAAAAGTTCGGTTCCTAACGGTTTCGGTTCTACCGGCTTTTACTTCACGGTTCCGGGTAAGAGAAACAGAAAAATCCGATCCTCGGTTCCAATTATTTTGGAACCGCAGAGCTCTAACATTGATAGTCTAAGTCTTATAAAGGAATTAGCGTTCTCGCGCATGTTTGATAGCAAGTAAAGAGGTCGCTATTCAATTGAATTGGGTCGACTATGCTCGATTCTATTTCAATTTCCAATGTCAATCAAATAGATTATATTATTTCATTTGATTATATTTCTTCTTTTTTAAATAATTATAAATCTTACTTCATTTAACTTTTTATCCGTATCACATGAAAAATTTACAGAATTAGGATCAAATTTGTAATGTTTCCACATCTTAAAAAAAGAAATTTCGGTCTATTAATATATTAATAAATGTAAAAAAAAAGAAATCCATTCACTACCTATTCTTCTACAACAAAATACTTATTAAATTTCAATTGGTTAATAACAAACAAATCATTTCTCGTTGTAATATCTTTCTTATTGGTGTAAATAAAGGGTACATTGATTTACATTATCTTTCATCAACTTGCTAATGTATTTTTAAGAATATTTAGTATTGAAATGGCAACAAATAAAATTACTGAACCAAAATTACCTGTTGAAAACATAAAAGAAATTGCTGAAACATTAACGTAAGTAAAAAACAAAAAAAATTATTTGAACATTTTTTTAAAACTTTTGCTTTGTTTTTTTTTTAAAGTGAATTTGAATTGAATAATGGTGTAATAAGTGCAGATAATCAAAATGAAGAAGGAGCAGCCGTTGATGTAAAGTTTTTTATTTAAAGAAGATAAAAATGTTCGAAATTTTTTTTAAATTTTAATAGAAATTTAAACAACGTCTTGACCGTTTTGGGAAAATAGCACCTGAAGCAAAAAAAATTTCTCGTGCATTACGTTTTGGTACATCACATGTATGTTAACAAAAAAAAAAATATAAAGATTGTCTGTGTTATTTTGTCTTTTTCTTTATTCTTAAGGAAGCAATTGATGGTACAGCTAAAAAACGACGTTTAGAAAGATTTGGAGCTGTTCCTCATTCAGCAGTATGAATTTGAGAAGATTTTTTTTTATTGAAATAATTTTTTAATTATTTGTTGTAGGAAGATGAACAACAAAAAAAACGTCTACGAGCTGATCGTTTTCATTTAATTAATTCCACATCAACAATCGATGAAGAAACAAAGAAAAAACGTATGGATCGTTTTGGTGTTGTTACACCATCTACAGTAAGAAATCATTTGAGTGATATTGAATAAAATGCTTTTGTTGATTATAAATGCGTCTCGTCATTAGAACATTAGATAACCTATTGATGATGGAGGCAAAGACATATAACTCTTGATCTCGTTTTGTGATAATAATCCAAACTAGTCAGTTATTAACAGCTAATTATTCAAAGTCAAAATTATAAATTCTAAATTGAGAAGTTTGTTTGACGTGATACTAACAATCTAGGTACATTTAATAGCTTTTATTATGTGTCATGTAGAACTGAAACTGAGATAGTAGTGCTTTGATTAGGTCAGTTTAAAATCTGTCGTAACTAGAGAATGTCACAAAACAGTTTTCTTCGTTCTGTCCTATATTCTGCAGAACATTATCATTTAGTCATTTTGCTTTACAGGACACAAAGGGTTCTCCTGCATCCGATCTACAAAACTATCGTTTCATTCTATTTTTGACAAGGATAAAAGCTTGTCTGTATATAAGCTGTAATGTCCGATATAATATTCAATAAACATCAATCCAGCTGACTGAAGAACCTTTTCAGATGTCAAATCAATATTCGATCAAAACGATGTTCATTTGATAAGCGCTAGTTAGTAATAAAAAAGTCTAGAATGGTTTGGTTTTCCGGACCTTCATTCTTGAGCTAGTGAAATTTTACTGCATTTTACGACAATGACTTATGACTGTTCTTAGGTCACGCGCAAAATTCACATTTGAGTTTCGACTTGAAACGTCGCACGAACAAAGTTCTTAATGAGATTACTTAATTGATTAGGTTGTAGATTTTCTAGCAGCTATCTTCTTTCTCGAGATATTCAACATTCGAGATTCACTCATGTATAAAATTAAATTTATATCGCTAGAAAGAAAATACTAGGAAAACTAAACCTTGCACAATTACTAATCTCATTAAGAACTTTGTTTATACAAGATTTGAAGACGGAACTCGAAAGTCGATTTTCTACATGACCTTAGGGATACTACAACTTTTTCTTGAAAAATCCAGTAAAACTTCGATATTTCAAGAATCAAGATCTGGACAATCAAAGCATTCTAGACTTTTTTATAACTCACAAATACCTATCGAATGAACATCATCTCGATCAAAAAAGCGATTTGATACCTGGAGAAACTTTCTCGTGGTCTAAATAAATTTTTCTTTGAAGAACTAGTCGCTGGTATGACATTTTTTTTTCTAGCTACTGTTAATGATAATGGAAAACTACAATGAGTTCCACTACTAGATCAGAACTTCATTGGATCACGATCAATTAGATGACTTGAGTGTCCTACAGTAGAGCCCATAGGACCCCAGAATTTTTGGATCTGGGTCCAGTCGATCAAAGTTTTCGATTCGAATTTGATTGATCAGTCTTTTGTGGGAAGAGCCCATTGGATCCAAAAACCCCTGGGTCCGGATACAGTCGACTCAAAATTTTTAGGCTCGGACCCATTGAGCTCTACCTACAGGACTCAAATATTATCTTTGCGGCCTTGCGTCCTGTGATGTTTTTCGGTCTCAATATCAATTTCATTTTTGTTCAGAGTTCTTCTCTTTGAAACAGCGAAATTTGCAAATTAGTATTTTCAAATATTCTATATTTTAGACTAATAATAATAGTACTGCTGGAAAATCTGCATCAACTACTCCAGTTTTATCTGATACTATTAAAAAAAGAGCTCAACGTTTTGGTAATATATCTCAAGCAGCTAAAGCAACTACAATAAATGTATGAATACAATTTTTTCTATTATTCAATATACAAAATTTTGGTATTATTTAGGAACAAAAACTTAAACGCACTGAACGATTTAAACCGATCACAAATGCTTAATATTAACTCTTCTTGTCTTGACATTCTTTTTTTCTTCTTGTTTTTACATTTGTCTTTTTTCTTGTTCATAAAAACGAAAAAAAAAACACAATTTTTATGTGTAAAAAATATACTTGAAATAGAAACAATTGTTCATATTTAGACAATGACTTCTATTATTCGACCACGTCTATTTATAACTTTTCAAATGTCTTCACAGTTTATTCGTTCACTTAAACGTGTATTTGATCTGGATTATCAAGATATACCGGCATGTTTATCTCATGAACAAATTTTATCTCGTATTCGTGCTAATCCACCTAATGCAATACTTTTTCCAGCAACAGCAAAAATTGATAAAGAAGTAATATCGGCAGGAGGTGATAAACTCAAAATGTTAGCCGCTTTTTCAGTTGGATATAATCATATTGATATAAAAGAATGTAAAAAAAGAAGTATATCTATTGGATATACACCAGGTAGAATAGAACAGTCATCATTTTAAAATAGATTGTTAAATCATATTCCGAAATCTTTAGGTGTATTAACAGATACAACAGCTGATTCAGCTATTACATTATTATTAGCAACATCAAGAAGGATTGCTGAAGCGATGCGAACAGTTCGTGTAAGACATCACAACAAGAAAGATTTATTTTCATTTTTGTTTTCATTGATAACTTTTAAATAGAATGGTGAATGGGGTACATCATCAGATATGATGTGGATGTGTGGTAAACCTTTAATTAATTCAACAATTGGTATTGTTGGTTTAGGTCGTATTGGTTTAGCAATTGCACGTCGTTTACAACCATTTTCTATTCAACGTATACTTTATAGTGGTACATGTGAAAAATATTTTGATTCTGATAATGATAAAAAATTATTTAAATTTGTTCAGTTTGAAGAATTATTACATGAATCTGATTTTGTTATTATTGCATGTGCATTAAATGAAAAAACAACAAATATGTTTAATAAAAAAGCATTTGAACAAATGAAAAATGATGCAATTTTAATTAATATTGCACGAGGAGGTATTGTTGATCAAGATGCACTTTATGATGCATTAAAAAATGGTCAAATTCGAGCAGCAGGTAAAGAATCTTTTTATTAATAAAGAATAGTCGAAAAGTTTTGACTTCTCTCAGTAAATCGATGATATTTATGACAAATCTGTATATGGTTAAATGATCGAAGTATGTAATTTTGTTAAGCAAGATTAGAGCTAATAATTGAAAAACAGATACTTTGAAATGCATACATTATAGATGAGCATCGTGGCGTGGCAGTGGCATATTTTCAATTGTGATGAACATCTATGGCATACATGTAATACAATGTTATAGTCATTTTACTAATCTTGAGTAAATATTTTCATCTTAAACTTTTGAGACAAAAAAACAAATTTCTTCAAAGATCTAAATGATTTTTAAGTTTATTAGATTGACATTTTATATATATCTCAAAAATCAAATTTAGTGATGTGTTGATCTTGTTTTCTAAACGATTACTTTTAATCTGTTCGGAATACTGTTAATGGTTTCCTCACATTTTTCTACATTGAAGTTTCCTCATATATGATTTATTTTTTGTTCGAAATATTCATATTTACTTAAATCTTATCGAATGATACCTCATCAGTTTTCCATTGGTCATATATCATCTATTTGACTTTGAAATGAATACTGGGGGAAGGTTTTAATCAAAGCTGTGGGAAAGATAAATTGAAGCAATTGCCATATTAGAAAATAAATTGTAAGCAGTAAACTTCATAAAATATGACTATCAATTAAAGAGCTACGGGTTCAAGAATTTTTGAAAGTGGGGCTGGCCAGTAAAATTTTTTTGGACCTGGACCCGGTAGACTCGAAACTTTTAGATTCGGACTCGATGGGCTCTAGTTCGTAGCTCCCTATAGTTAAGTATCGACCAGCATTAAAAATTCTTTGTGCAAGATTTTTAAAATATTGAATATTTAGCGGTCACGTACTGCAAATTCATCATAACCCATTTTAATATTCTGCTCAATTCTATCTGGAATAGATGGTTCATTGTTTCAAGATGCATAAAAATGATTGATACTTACTTGAGCATTGGAAACTGTTGTTTTTTTTATTTTGACAACTACGACTATGCTTAGCGAATTAGTACCAGAAGATGATTTATAATTATGTAAATCTTCACATTGATTGGATATAATATTTTATTGCTTGATCTCATTTACATAAATACAACAAAAAATATTCCATAATGAAATGTTATATATTATTCCATTAGAATGATAACTTTGATAAAAAAACTCGGTGAGCAAAAAAAACAACATGACTGTTACAAAAATTTTTTTATTATTTTTCTTAAAAACTGTATGGTGACAATAATATTGTGATAAATTTATGCATTTCGAAGTGTTTTTTTTTCAAATGATAGCTCGAGTCTTCCTCTGTAAAATTATATATTTTGATCAATTAATCATATTTATGTTTGTCATCGATCTAGTGAGAGAGGTTGAAACTTTTCGACCATCCTTTAGTATAATATTTATAATTATCTATAGGTTTGGATGTTACTGTACCTGAACCATTGCCTACAGATCATCCTCTTTTAACACTTGAGAACTGTACGATATTTCCACATATTGGTAGTGCTGATGAATATGCACGTCATCAAATGGCACAAATATGTGTGGATAATTTACTCAATTTTTTTAGTGGAAAACCAATGGTACATCAACTTCAAATAGACAAACTTTAATAATATAATAGTTTGAAAATTATTATTTAGTTTTGCAAAATTTTTTTTACTAAGAGTAAATAGATGATTTATGATACGACACTAGATATTATTAACATTAATCTCTTCAGCATAAAAAAAGAACAGCAACTATGAACACCACTATCAATTCGAATAACATCACTATTCATAAAACATCTATCTTGAGATACAAGCATAGCTATGAGATCGGCTACATCTTCTGTTTTATCAAACGATCCATTGGACATTTTCAAATTATCAAATAAATGATTATTTATATTTAATGGTAATCAAACATTCTTATTCATAGGAGTATCAATACCAACTGGTGCTACTATATTCATGTGTACATCTTGAAGAAGATATTCTCATGCAAGAGATTTTGTAAATGCAACAATAGCTCCTTTACTTGCTGCATGTATTGACATAAAAGGATGACCATGTAAAGCGGCTGCTGAAGTTGTATTTATAATATTACCTTTTGTAATGACCGAATGAGGAAGACAAGCACAACATATTAAAAATGTACCAATCATATTTGTATCGAGAATTGAACGAAATTCTTTTACTGGAATATCTACTGTGGAACCTGTACGTAGTATATCAGCTACATTAACAAAAACATCAAGACGACCTTGACGAGTAATATATTCATTAACTTTTTCGATGATTTTTTTCTTCAGCTCTAACAGACATAACATCTATTGAAATCATTCTCGATGACATGATGATTGTATAGTTACTTTTAATCTAGTTTCATTAAGATCAATATCAAGAACGCAAGCACCTTTCTCGACAAGACGTAAAATCACAACAGCTCGCCCTATGACCGAATCAGCTCTAGTGGCAACAGCTATTTTACCATGAAATCAAGTTGTAACAATTGGTGTCTTCTAAAGATAACAAAAAAATCGATCAGTAATTTTATCGATTTGTTTTCTGAAGCTTAACTCGTTCTGGACGGGAAACGCATATATGCGTCTTTCGTCCTGAAATAGTTGAAGTTCAGAGATTTCTACTAATTATCATTTATGTACTTGGTACTGTTTTATGGCTTCGTATGGACAACATACATATATGAGCCGTAGCAGTCTTTGACAGATCAATAATGTTGATTAGAAAGAAAAAGTAATTCACTTTAATTAATTCTGTGTTTCATTATTTTGCTTGACAAAAAGAATCTCGTCCTGAAAACGTTAAATAGTATTTATTAGTGTGTTGACTTGAACATTCAATGTTTCATTTATAATTTTAGTGTTAAATAATGACGAAAAGTAAATTTTCGTTTTCAATAGTTCCAAACTAACCTAGAGAAAATAGTCACATATTGATAACGTTTATTTTGCTATTCTTTTCGTTCTTTTCTTTCTGTTGTGTTATCGTATGACGTATGGTAAAAAGTACATCTAAACAAATCAGTTTTTTTTTTAATTGTTCTTTGCTTTGTCATAGTAGCAGATGATGTATTTCACAGTTATTTCTTATCATGTTTCTAAGATAAGCCTTCACTTTTATTTTGCATTAATATAAAATATATTTTGTTTGAATTCTTAGGATACTGAAACTAGATATTTATTTCTATGTATTTGATTATTTCATTCATACAATATTATTTTAAGAAAAAGATAAGATTTTTATTTTACCTAGATAATATATGTTTATATTTAATATAAATAATTTACTTACAACGGAGGTGTTTATATTGTAAATTAAAAAGACTAGACATATTCGCGTCGAAATAAAGTTCTCACCACCAAACTAACAAATTTAAAATATTAGCTGCTATTGGTGTGTCTGGATCCAGGCACACCAACAAAAGATAATATTTTAAATTTGTTAGTTTGGTGGTGAGAACTTTATTTCGACGCGAATATGTCTACTCTTTTTAATTTACAATACAAACATCTCCATTGTAAGACTGAATAAACAATATGTTATCAATTTGACTTGATGACAAATATGTTCATCTTTGAGTAAATATCAATCCATCTGACGACAGAATGCCTCCAGATGTCAAAGCACTGTTTAATCAAGGCGATATTCATTTGATGAGTACTACTAAGTAATAACAAAGTCTAAAATAGTTTGGTTTTCTTGGCCCTCATTCTTGGAATATCGTAATTTTACTAAGTTTGTCAACAAAAATCTATGGTCACTCTAAGATCATGTGGAAAATTCACTTTCGAGTCTCGACTTCAAATTTTCCAAGAATAAAGTTCTCAATGAGATTAGTTGATTGTGCAACTTGTAAATTTTCTAGTAGTTATTTCCTATCCTCAATGATTCAATATTCGACATTCTCCCATGTGTAAGAGTAAATTTACATCTTCAAAAATGAAATACTAGAAAAAATAAAACTTCGACAGTCAACTAATCTCATTAAGAATTATGTCCCTACAAAAATTTCAAGACGAAACTCAAAAGTTGATTTTCCACATGATTTGAGAGAAATCACATCTTTTTATTGAAAAACTCAGTAAAGTTTTGATATCTGAAGAACGAATATCTAGAAAACCAAATCATTCAACATTTTTCTCTTACTCACTACCACTCTTCTAATACACATTGTTTCGATTGAAAAAGCGATTTCACACCTGAAGAGGTTTCCTCATGAGCTAAATAATGTTTCCATCGAAGAACTAGTCGTTGATATGACATATATTCTTCTGACTATTATTAATAATAATAGAAAATTAAGACGAGTTCACTATTAAGTCAGAACGTCATTAGATCATGATCAATTAGATGGCTTGAATAACCTACAGGACTTAAATATTATCCTTGAGATCTTCCGTCCTGTGATGTTCTCCAGTCTCAATATCAATTTCATTTTTGTTCAGAGCTTTACTCTTTCAAACAATGAAATTTATAAATTAGTATTTTCAAATATTCTATATTTTAGACTAATAATATTAATAATACTGCTTGAAAATCTGCATCAACTACTCGAATTTTATCTGATACTATTAGAAAAAAAGAGCTCAACGTTTTGGTGGTATATCTCAAGCAGCTAAAACAAATACATTGAATATGAATATAATTTTTTCTATTATTCAATTTACAAAATTGTGGTATTCTTTAGTAACAAAAACTTAAACGCAGTGAACGATTTAAACCGATCACAAATGCTTAATATTAACTCTTCTTGTCTTGACATTCTTTTTTTCTTCTTGTTTTTGCATTTGTCTTTTTTCTTGTTCATAAAAACGAAAAAAACACAATTTTTATGTGTAGAAAATATACTTGAAATAGAAACAATTGTTTATATTTAGACAATGACATCTACTACTCGACCACATCTATTTATAACTTTTCAAATGCCTTCGCAGTTTATTCATTCACTTGAACGTGTATTTGATCTGGATTATCAAGATATACCGGCACGTTTATCTCATGAACAAATTTTATCTCGTATTCGTGCTCATACACCTGATGCAATACTCTTTTCAGGAGGAACAAAAATTGATAAAGAAATAATATCGGCAGCAGGTGATAAACTTAAAATGTTAGCCACATTTTCAGTTGGATATAATCATATTGATATAAAAGAATGTGAAAAAAGAGGTATACCTATTGGGTATACACCAGGTAGAATAGAATAATCATCATTTTAAAATAGATTATTAAATCATATTTTCAAATGCTTAGGTGTATTAACAGATACAACAGCTGATTTAGCTATTACATTATTATTAGCAACATCAAGAAGGATTACTGAAGCGATGCGAACAGTTCGTGTAAGACATCATAACAAGGAAGATTAATTTTTATTTTTGTTTTCATTGATAACTTTTAAATAGAATGGTGAATGGGGTACATCATCAAATATAATGTGGATGTGTGGTAAACCTTTAATTAATTCAACAATTGGTATTGTTGGTTTAGGTCGTATTGGTTTAGCAATTGCACGTCGTTTGCAACCATTTTCTATTCAACGTATACTTTATAGTGGTACACGTGAAAAACATTTTGATTCTGATAGTGATAAAAAATTATTTAAATTTGTTCAATTTGAAGAATTATTACATGAATCTGATTTTGTTATTATTGCATGTGCATTAAATGAAGAAACAACAAATATGTTTAATAAAAAAGCATTTGAACAAATGAAAAATGATGCAATTTTAATAAATATTTCACGGGGAGGTATTGTTGATCAAGATGCACTTTATGATGCATTAAAAAATGGTCAAATTCGAGCAGCAGGTAAAGAATCTTTTATTAATAAAGAATAGTCGAAAAATTTTGACCTCTCTCAGTACATCGATGATGTCTATGATAAATTTTTATATATTTAATTGATCGAAGTGTGTAGTTTTGTAAAGCAAGATTAGAGCTAGCACCTAAAAAACAAGATACTTCGAAATTCATACAATATAGATGATCGTGGCGGCCTGGAAGTTTGTCAAGTGTGATGAAAATCTATGGCATAAATGTGGTACAATGTTATGATTATTTTACTAATCTTTAGTGAATATTTTGATATTATGTTTTTTCAAGCAAAAAAAATTTCTTCAAAAATCTAAATGATTTATAAGTTTATTAGATTGACAGTTTATATGTATCTCGATAATCAAATTTAGTGATGTGTTGATCTTGTTTTCTGCTGATTGTTTTTAACCATTTTTGAATAGTGTTAATCCTTTTCTGATATTTTTCTACACTGAAATTGTCTTATATATGATTTATTTTTTATTTAACATATTGATATTTACATAAGTCTCGTGGAAGAATATCTCATAAATTTTCTATTTGTCATATATCATCTATTTGACTTTGAAATGAATACTGGAGGTGGTTTTAATAGAGGTTGTTGGAAAGATAAATTCAAGCAGTTGGTATATTAGACAATAAATTGTAAATAGTAAACTTCATAAAATAAGACTATCAATTAGGGAGCTGCCAGTCGTTCCAGACGCAAGTCTGGGTCTACTTGACAGTAGAAGCCATCGGGCTCAAGAATTTTTGGACCCGGATCCGGTCAATTCAAGACTTTTAGACTCGGACTCGATGTGCTCTAGTCTACAGCTCTCTATAGTTAAGTATCGACCAGCATTAAAAGTTTTCTGTGGAATATTTTTATAATTTTGAATGTTTAACAGTCAATTACTGAACATTTACCATAATCCATATTAATATTCTGCTCGACTCTGTCTGGAATAGATGGTTCATTTTTTCAAGATGCATAAAACTGATTGATACTTATTTCAGCATTGGAAACTGTTTTTTTTTTGTTATTTTGATAATTACGACTATACTTAGTGAATTAGTAGCAGAACATGATTTATAACTACGTAAATCTTCACATTGATTACATAGAACATATTCTTGCTTGATCTCATTTACATAAATACAATGAAGACCATTCCATAATGAAATATTATATATTATCTATATATTTAATGTTTAATGTGTGTGTCTGTCTGTATCTGTCCAGGCTAAAGGTTAAAGGTCGCAAGGCTATAAGAGTATAAGGGATAAGATTATAAGAGTATAAGATACAGGAGATAAGGTTATAGAGCTATAAGAGGATAAGGGAACAGTGCTATAAAAGGATAAGGAGATAAAGTATGGGATATAAGAGGATGGGGATATAACGGATTAAGGCTATAAGCAAGATTAGGGTGTAAGACTATAAAGGTATAATAGGATAAGGAGATGAGGAACCAGAGATATAATGCTATAAGAGGATAAGACTACA